CTGCTAATACCACTCTGACAGATGTTGCGTTTAATAAGTATTATATTTGAACTGCAGGTAGATTTGAGGTGGCTATGGCAGCAACAATAAATGAGACCTTGGACCATTCCAGTCATACAGGATGCATTGATTTCTTGACATATTAAACAAAGCAAAACAAAAGATGGATTAGATACGTTACACGCAGGGTTATTAGTCTTTGCTCAGTGACATTACTGGCCAGGCTATTTCGTCAGGCAAGGGGGATTCTGCATACCTGCACAGTGGTGTCTTCAGTTCCATGTATTCCAGTTGCTTTTCATGTAACCTTCCATACTTTTCAGTTCCTTTTGTTGTCTGTCATCCAGTCAAATTTTACTTTTCCTTCTTGTATCACTTGTTTATTGTTCATGTTCAGTACTACTCCCTCGTGTTTTGTGGTTGCCTTTACTTATTTTCTCTTTTTTCCCCTTTAGCCCATCTGTCCTTGTGTATAATCAACCAATCAGCAAGCTTGTAGCAATCCAATGAGGATTATTTTTAGATCAGAAAGGGACATTGAGGAGTGTTAGTCCTTATATTTTCTGCTAAAACAAAAATCGTCCTAATTGTGGTCAATCTAGGTTTGTCCTATTTCAAATATAGATATTCCCTCCTTTAGTGGCCCACCTACATCTCCACACAATCCTATCGTGACCTTATCTTATGCTGTTTCAAACATTATGTTTGTATAAGCATAATGCTGATTTAAGCTCTACTCTTACCATATAGGTATTTTTGTTATAAACCTGTTATCCTAGTTTCACAGACCTAAAAAAGGTTACTGAGGGTTGTTGCCTTTGCAGGGGCAGCAGCCAAAAGGTCTTTGAGAGGCCTCTGGGCTTGACAGGTTTTTCAGGAGCTTAGGATTACTTGCAATATGGGCCATAGGCTACATGAGGTCATGTGTAAGTCACTGTTCACTTAGAGGGCATGAAATCTTGTTGTGTGGACTCCCCCATGATAAGAATAAATATGTGAACAGTTGCTTCGAAGAGAAAAAGCAGTTACCAGCGATTGGAGTGCTTTGAGGAATTTGTCCATTTTCATCTTTCCATTCTTCCTCAGTCACACATAGTACGTGACTCTGAGAGGAAATTGAAGAATAGAAAATGTGCACCTGTTATATTCTCAGCACATATCATGAGTGTGGGCCAAGTTGCTTTAGGAGGGTGGTGTTAGCCAGTTTATCAAAGATTATTATGCGTTTGAATTTTGGTGGTGGCATAGTGAAGATATTAAAGAAGCACTGGACCGGACTTGTCTTTTATAGCATGTATGAAAGTTGAAGTGTACTAACCAGCCATGCCACAGCCACTGTTGAGGTTAAAATAAGATTATGTCACAACTTTTCATTTGAGCTGAAGCAGATGCCAGGAATGTCCATATTGCATCCATTTTTTTAAAGCTAGTTAGTAGGGGCATAGGATCTATGTCGTTGTAGATGCAAGTAAATACAAAATAATTTTTCCAAGTTGATTTTCCCTAATACAGAAATTTGGCTCTTCTTCAGGATATAAAGTTGACTTAATCCTGGTAACTTGAAATGCCAATAATGCTTAGAAAAGTTTTAATATCTAAAAATATGTTGCAAATAATTGAGGACAAATACCTGAAGTTTTGTTTTGCTTTGTATGCCAAAAATATGAACAGATACTATAATATAGCAATATTTCTTATTCTTAAAATAATTGCTTTCTACATGCAGTGGATTTTTAAAGTCATACTTACCTACTTGACTGAATGAACTGTGCAAAGCTCTGATAACTATTCTATCTCCATTTTTCTAAGTGTATCTTTGATTAACCTAGCTGACATGAGTTTTTTCTGTACTAGTAAGAGACTTTAAACAACATATTCACTCACTCGGGGAAATGCTATATTCCTAACACAATTAAAATGTACTTTTTAAAATGGGGAAAATTAACTAATTCTTGAGTTTTAATATTTGTTTTTCTCTGTATGTATCTTAATGTGCAAGTATCTTTGTTTTATTATTATACTCAGCTATCTACATAGAAGCAGGTTGTTTGGTTGCACAGAATTTCTTTATCTACCAGTGTTTTATGAATAACTCTTTGATAGGGGTGTGCAAAGTGGGCCATATTTGATTTCCACCGATTCAGGGGACAGTGATTCAATTTGCTGATTGGATCACTGTCCCGATTTAGATTCGGCTGAATCTGAAGATTTGATTCTGATTTGGAGAATCGGTGATTCGGCCATAGACACAGCTTCATATGTTTTTTCTACATACCTTGAAGTACCAGGCATGACTCGTAAATGCTGAGATGGTGGGGCGGATAGAGCGTTCCACAGGACTCCCCCCCCC